TTAGTCAGTCCACGCAGTGCGTGTTGCTTGCAGGGGCCTTTGTCTCCTTCACTGTGTGTTCCTAGTGCCTGGTGGAGAGACTGGCACAGAGATTGTGCAGGCGCAGCGAATGTTTGTCTCATGGGCGTGTAGCTGCTGCCACTCTCTGGTCTGATCTCGTCTGTTTATTGTCTGGCGCGGCCCCTTCTCCCCTGGTTAGCAAGTCCCACTGGAGGGCAGGCCCAGCATCCGCTGTGTCACTGTGTGCCCAAGTTCGTATCTTCCCAGTGGTGGAACGCCGAGCCCCTTCTGGGAGCCCTGAGGCAGCGGGTCTCCCAGAGGAGCTGGGCACTGACTCCCACCCCATCTCTCCTGGCCCAGGAGGGAGATGACAAGATCGAGTACCGCGCCTGGAACCCCTTCCGCTCCAAGTTGGCGGCGGCAATCCTGGGCGGTGTGGACCAGATTCACATCAAGCCCGGGGCCAAGGTGCTCTACCTCGGGGCTGCCTCGGGCACCACCGTCTCCCACGTCTCAGACATCGTAGGCCCGGTGAGTGGGTGGAGGGGTGGGCGGAGGGTTCGTGAGTGTGGGGTGCAGAGGAGGCCACCTCTCCTGCCAACCTGCAGTCAGAGGCTCTGGCTGCTTCCCTGCACCGTGTGGCTGGGCGCAAGGCCCTTCCTTCCCAAAGGGCCTGAGTAAAAGGAACAGCTTGAACCGGCTTGTCCAGAGCCTCCTTCAGCCTCACGCTGGAGTTCTTGACTGGGGTAGGGAGGATGTGGGGGTGATGCCCAGTGTTAGGGGACACAGAGCTGAGAGTATAGATACCAGACTTTGATTTGGTTGTCCTCTTTAAAAATGTGTGGGTCCCCGATTGAGATTTCTGGCTTCCTTAAAAACACGGGCGATCTCCATCTCCAGGCCTGCATGTCTGTGAGGCTGTGCAGGCTCCCTGGTTGGATGGCGCCCCTGCCTCTCAGTTTTGACTCCTACCCATCCACATAACTGGGGCCATGTGATTTAGTGATTACAAACCCCGGACTCTGTGCAGGCATATTAAGTGAAGTGGCTTTCCGTAGGTTAATCTGACCCTCAGTTTAATCTCTAGCAAAGCTAATCCCTGTACAGCACTCCCCACAGTACCTGACCCATTGCACATGCTCTTGGCTGATAGACTTCATCTCTGTGTCTTTGCTTCCTGTTGTTAAGCCTGGGTTGGGGGTGCCTGACCTCTCAGGTCAGGCAACGTGGGATCGAATAACCTTTGGCTGGTGACATCTCTGGTTCTCAGTTTATTCATCTGTAAAATGGATGTGATACTAGTTGTTAAATGGTAGGGTTTTGGTCAGGGGAGTTGAAGAGATGCTTTGTGCAGTGTGGGGACCCAAAGTAGGCGTTGGTATCATCACTGTTGTTGATTTGATTTCTCTTTAGGATGGTCTGGTCTACGCAGTTGAATTCTCCCACCGCTCTGGCCGTGACCTCATTAACTTGGCCAAGAAGAGGACCAACATTATTCCTGTCATTGAAGATGCCCGGCACCCACACAAATACCGCATGCTCATCGGTGAGAGGTCTAGGAAATTGGTGCAGGCGGGGTATGACGGATTTCCTGACAGGCAGTCAAAGCCCTGATTTGGATGGCATTGGAGTGGATGAGCAGGCCTCTGGAGTCTGCAGGAATGAAAAGGGTGGGCAAGCCAGGTGAGGTAGTGCAGGCAGAGGGCCAGCCTCCTCTCTTCCAATCTCCTGACCTTTTCCCTAAACCTCTGAACTTCCTGTCTCCCTCCAGAACTTGGTACTTTTTCTACTGCCCCTGGCTTGTGTATAAAAGCCTCCTTCAGAGGTCCCTTGTCATCATCATCTGGTGAAATCATAACCCCAAAGCATATAAACAATGTGGCATGGCCCAGAGGGGCCCACTGAAAATATTAATGACTGTGAAAAATAATTCGAAAGCATAATGTAAAAATGAAATGCCTTACACCCTCAGAGGTAACTAATATGAACAATTTGGTGTCTGCTTGTCCCAGTTTTTAAAAAGTCAGTTTTTATTATACCATTTTTTTTTGTATTTTTTTTTTTATTACACTGCCTTAAAAATATTACTTTTCATTCTGCTGGCTTTTCTTTAAGTTTTTTTTTCCCCCATCACTCATATCAATGCCCTTTGTCCTACAACTTGGTTTCGTTTGACAGTCCTGCAGACTCTTTTGCCTGTAAGTGCTTACCTTTACTTGACTTTTTTGATGACGTGTCTGTCTCCCCCCCAGACCCGGGAGCGTCTCGAGGGCAGGGTTCGGGTCTGACTCGTCTCTGTGTCCCCCACGCCCGGCCCGGGGCTGGCCACAGAGTAGGTGGCAACCATGGTTTACAAGAAGAGTGAATGAATGGTGTGGCTGTGGGTTTTGGGACCCATCTTGGGGGCACTGTGGAGGGAGGGGGTCAGTGGGTGGGGAAGTGAGACTGGAGGCAGGGAGACTGCCAGGAACCTGCTGGTGATGGGGCACAGACCCCATGGGAGGAGCTGGGAAGAGCCAGTGGATCCAGCTTTTAACTGCCGCTTCTTTCTCCCTAGCAATGGTGGACGTGATCTTTGCTGATGTGGCCCAACCTGACCAGACGCGGATTGTGGCCCTGAATGCCCACACCTTCCTACGCAATGGTGGACACTTTGTGATTTCCATTAAGGTGCGGGGCTTGGAGGAGTCTGAGATGGAACAGCAGTATCTTCTTTCTGTAACCGTCACACACAGCCAATCACACCAAGGGATCTGCCCTTCCTTCCAACCCCACCCCCCCCTCTCAGCTATGTCCTGTGGCCCTACCCTGGTTCCTACCCCAGTCAAATAGCACAAATAAGCTTTGGGTTTACAGAGGGGAATGGTGTGGTGGGGGAGGGCATGATCACTGGGTCTGACTACTAGAGCTTGAATTCCAGCTGGCAGGGTGGCTTTGAGCAGGTTGTTAAACCTGTGTCCCTGTTTCCTCACTGGTCAAATAGAAACACTCTGTCTCCTAGTGTTGATGTAAAGATTATGTGAATTTCTATATATGGAATTTTAAATTTTGATTTATATCTGTGTTTAGAACAGTCTGGTATAAATGCATGGTGGATTTTAAAAAGCATTTTATTTTGAAGTACAGAGAACTCTCCCTGTACCCTTCATTGGATTCTCCATGGTTACCCTGTCGCTACATTTATGCGGATGTTCTTAGCTGCACTGCTATTAAAGGAGAAAACATAGGATCACGGAAAAAAAACTTTGACTGTAAAGTTTAACTACTGGCTTTTAGACAAATAAGGCTCTATTTAAGGGGTCATGTCGAAACCAAATTTAAACTTCCCTGATGAAGCCTTTCCAAAACCTGAGTTTTACTGAGCTGCCAGTCAAAGCCAGTATTTCTGGCTTAAAGAGCAAACGCGAAAGGACAAAGCCTTGCTGCTGACTTCAAGTTCTTGCTCCTGCAGGCCAACTGTATTGACTCCACAGCCTCAGCTGAAGCCGTGTTTGCCTCTGAAGTGAAAAAGATGCAGCAGGAGAACATGAAGCCCCAGGAGCAGCTGACCCTAGAGCCATATGAGAGGGACCACGCTGTGGTCGTGGGTGTGTACAGGTGAGCTGGGGACCGGGTGGTCCGCCCGGCCCTGTACCTGTACCCGGAGTGGGTCTGCTTGGCACACAGGCTCTGACTGCCCTCCTCTCCCCACAGGCCGCCCCCCAAGGTGAAGAACTGAAGCCAGCGCCACCTGGATTGCGAGAGGCTGTGTTGCTACCGTTACACGTGTGTTTTTTTCTATTAAAAGACTCCTTCGTCGCTCCCGTCTACAGCTGATTGCTTGGCGACCTCTGTTGACAACGGGGCGCGTGCGTCCTCGGTGCCCCGCGCGGTGGTGGGCTGGGCGTTCTCCGGGGTCCACAGGCGCGTGCTCTGCGCTTGGCCCTCTGGGGCGGTGGCGTCCCGCTGCCGGCGCTTGGGCGGGGCTGGGAGCTCACTGCGCATGTCTGCCAGTAAGCGCCGCTCGGCGCAGGCGCGGAGTGTCGCCCCGGGTCACGTGAGGTGGCGCCGTGGGGGTGGGGAGGGGGCGGAGCTTGGGCCGGGGGGGCCGGTTTGTTGTGGTCGCCATTTTGCTGGTGGCATTACTGGGTAATCGGGGCCCGGGCTCGCCGCGTCCGCCGGGCACCTTCGGCCAGTGGGCAGGTCTGCGCTCGGGCCTCCCGAGCAGCTTGAGTCCCCTTGCCCGCGCCCTCAGGTAACGACGCGGTGGCGGGCGGGACGGCACGCGCCCGCGGGGAGGGGGCCGTGGGGGACCCGCCCTGCCCGCTTCGCCGCGGGACCTAGCACGAGGCCGCGGTGGGAGAGGCGGAGCGGCGGGCAGGTGCAGGCGGTGCCTGGCTAGTCACAGTTGGATCCCTGGAAGCGGCCGAGCCCAGGGGAGCAATCTTGGGAGGGGGCTGGGAGGGGGTAGCGGGGCCGGCTCCCGCCCTTTGTTTAGGCTCGGCTCCGCCGGCCGCTTCGCCGTCTCCTAGCAACAGCTGCCCTGGGCCGTGATTGGCTGCGCTCTTGGCCGCCGCGGCCAATGGTACGGTTGTTGCCATGGCAGGTGCGAACTGCCAGCCTCGGTTCGGCCCCGCCCGCCAGGGCTCCCCCGGCCGGGGCGGGCCTCCAGGGTGGAGGGCGGGACGCCGGGGTCCCCCGGGTCGAGTGGCTGCGCGGGGCGGGGCCGGAGGGGCGAGGGTTAACCCGCCCCTCCCCCGTCCACCTGCCTTCCCCCTCCCCCGCGTGGCCCGGGCTGACCCTCTCTTCTCCTCTCCTCTCCCCGCCCCCGGCGGCGGCGGCGGCTGCTGCTGCTGCTGCTGCTGTTCTTGTCACCCACCCGGCCTGTCCCGCTCGCCCTCCCAGCCGCGGGGCTTGCCGGGCCGGCCGGGCCGGGACAGGAGGCTGTTCCCTGGCCGCCATGCTGGCCGCTCGCCCACCCCACTGGGGGCCCCACCGCGCCCCAGCCCCCCGTGGGTCCCGCGCCAGCCCCGACTCTGGTAGGGGCTGGAGGCTGGAGAGACGGTCTTGGTGTGGGAGGGACAGGGACGGGGTTGTTTGGGTAGGATCTCCAAGAGAAGGGGGTTGTCAAGTAGCAACCAAGAGAAGGGGGGGTTGTCAATTGGCTTAGGTGAAAGGGGTCTGAGGAGGTCGAAGGCCTGTGGGGGCAGGATTTTGTGTGGCACCTAATCTGGGAGGGGAGACCTCTGTGGGATATTCGGGTAGTTTGGCTATGGGGGCCTTCTAGGAATGGTCACAGTTGCAAGTGACCCTGGTCTAGTGAGGAGTGACTGGAGAAAGGGTCCTGGTAGGAATACTGGGGGGAGGGGCAGGGGAGTAGGGTCCAGAGTAGGAGACAGAAGGAAGATCACTTTAAACCGAGGTGAGAGACGCCTCCCCCTTGCTCCCCTCAGGAGGAGTGGGGCACCTTGATTGGAAGGAGGACCTTGGAGTAATACAGGGAACAGTTCTGATGTGGCATGGGGGAACTGGGACATGGTTTGGGGGAACTGCCTGGAGAGGTGGTGCCCGATTTGGGAGGAAATGACCTAGGTAAGAGAACTTGGCATGGTATAGGGAAGGGCCCCTGGAAAGGTGTGTGCTGGCAGAGGAGAATGCCACAGGAATAGGACTGTGATGTAGGGCTTCTCAGATAACCTTGGTGTGGTCAGGAGGTCTCCGAGGACCCAGATGTGGTTTCAGAGACCTTCAGAGACTCCTGCTATGCGTGGGAAGGGATCAGAAGGACTCCCGTGTGGTTTGGAGGCGCTAGAGTTTTCTGGGCTGGGAGATGTACTAGGAAGGGTAGATCTAGAAGTTGAGGGACCTTGTGACAAGGGATGAGGTCCTGCTTTTCAGGGAAGACTGCAGGAGGGCAGGATCTTATGGGACCTTGGGGAGGGCTTGAGTAGATGTGGGAGAGGAAGCGTGCCCCCTGCTCCCTCTGCCATCCGTGGTTTCTGTCTGTCCTGCTCTTCCTCCCCGCACTGGGGTGTCTTGTCCTTCCTTGTCATGGCCCATCTCCCTGCCTGAATCCCGATCCTTCCTTTTCACATGTTCCCTTTTTTGTGCTGCCTGCTTCATTGATTTGGAATTCATTTGTTGAGGGATTCCGCTGTGCCCCCAGCCCCCACTCACACACACCCGTTCCCTCTCTTCGCCGCCACCTGTTGCTCTGTTGCCCTTTTCTTCTCCCTCTGTGTCCTGCCCTCTGATGTCCACCTCTTCCTGCCCGGCATTGTCCCACACGCCCCTTTCTTCCATGTTGTTCCCCTGCCTCGCTCCCTGCTCTCAGGTCTCAGCGGCGGTGGCAGCCGAGGTGCAGGATGCGAGAAGGCGCCCCCCGGCCGGGCTCCCGCTCCAGGCCTCACTCCCCTGCGGCCCTCTGAGCCCACCATGGCCGTTCCACCGGGCCATGGTCCCTTCTCTGGCTTCCCGGGGCCCCAGGAGCACACACAGGTATGAGTTCAGTTGGCCTCTTGCTTTCCTGGGGTCGGGGGAGGCTGGGTGTAGAAGGGCCTTGGGGCCGAAAGACAGTGTGGTTGTGGGGACACACTCCTGTGGGGGTGGGCGGGTAAAGGGTCCGATGGGAATGGAAGGTCATAGAGGAGTTGCTGGCAGTCTGGGTTTGGAAAACCTGGCTTTGAATCCTGATATAGTGGTTCGGTCGGATTACAGGAACTAGTGAGATGCATGTAACATGCTGAGAACAGTACCTGGCAGAGTAAACACTCAGTAAATGTTCCCTAAGAATTAGGTCTAGATGGAGTGTGAGAGGGGAGAAGAGTTGAGCCTTAAGGGTCTTGAAGGCAGCAAGGCCTGGAGTACTGGGTAGAGGCTGTAAAAGGTTCTGAAATGGCGAGCTCGAAGGCAGAGGGAGAGGGAGGTCCAGAGCACTGGATCCAGATCTAAGACTGGGGGGGTGATGAAAGTGGACAGAGATGTTCAGGGTAGGGGGTGGTGAAGCTTGAGAAGGCCACAGGGCATAAGGGTAAAGCAAGATGGGGAGCCCTTGAGAGGGATACTGAAGTGGAAGGATTGGCTGGGCCCAGGTTTTCTATATGAGGTTCAGAAAGGAGTGAAGGTGGAGGAAGAAAGATCAGGGCTCAATAGTTTACTCATTCATTCAGCAAGACTCTCAGGAACAGCCATTATGCACCAGGCGCCATTGCAGGCGCTGAGACTGTGGCAAGAGCAAGGCACAGCCCCTTGGGGCCTTCCTGTCCAACTAGGGGGACCAGACAGTGACCAAATAAATATGCGGTGACGATGAGCCAGTTGCTGTAATGCTTCTTCCTCCTGGTGTTGGAGGGGAGAGCCACTCCTCAGTGCCCACTCCCCCATCCCCCACCTCCGCCCTGCAGGTGCTGCCTGATGTGCGGCTGCTGCCACGGAGGCTGCCCTTGGCCTTCCGGGATGCCACCTCAGCCCCCCTGCGCAAGCTCTCCGTGGACCTCATCAAAACCTATAAGCACATCAATGAGGTGGGCAGGGTGCAGGGGACCCAAGCTGGTTGCTGAGGGGTGCAGGCTGCCCCCGGCCGCTCACCAGCCCTGTTTGCCACCGGGCAGGTGTACTATGCGAAAAAGAAGCGGCGGGCCCAGCCGGCGCCTCCGCAGGACGCGAGCACCAAGAAGGAGAAGAAGGTGCTGAACCACGGCTACGACGACGACAACCACGACTACATCGTGCGCAGTGGCGAGCGCTGGCTGGAGCGCTACGAGATCGACTCCCTCATTGGCAAGGGCTCCTTTGGCCAGGTGCGGGCCCCGACCCCGTCCAGGGCTGGGGGCATGGGTGCCTCCTGGCAGGGCCCCACAGAGCCCACAGTGGGCCAGTGACCCGAGCTGCGGGGCTCCTCTGTGCCTTGGTCCCTTTTCTGCACAATCGTGCAAATAAGGAGCCTTCTGCCCGCGGCAGCCACGGGCATTTGTGTCCGGCGGCGCCACCATGGCCCACCCCGGCCAGCGCACCATGGTGCTGGGCTGAGGGAGAGGAGTGGTGCCTGGCCCTTCACCCCTTCCCTCACGGCCGCGTCCTACAGGTGGTGAAAGCCTACGATCACCAGACCCAGGAGCTGGTGGCCATCAAGATCATCAAAAACAAGAAGGCCTTCCTGAACCAGGCGCAGATCGAGCTGCGGCTGTTGGAGCTCATGAACCAGCACGACACAGAGATGAAGTACTACATAGGTGAGGGTGGGAGCCGGGCTCCCTCAGCATGGGCGCCGCTGGCTAGGTCTGCGCTTGCCCAATATCAGCGGCTCTCCTGCCGCTCCCGTGACGGCTGTCCTAGTCATGTGACAGGCTGGTCAGAGTGTGTGGAGCTGGCCAGCTGTCTTGTACGCACTTTACAGAAAGTGCGGAGGGGGTGTGGCCCACGGCCTGAAGGGGATGCCCCAGGCCTCCGGGCGCTGCACGAGGTTGCAGGTTTCGGGTTCATAGGAGCTCGCTTAATATGGCCAGCAGTGGATTCCAGAGCCTTCACTCTTAACATGCACGGCAGTCTTTCCCTCTGTACTGAAAAAGCAAGTGGATTTAAAGAGTGTGTTTCTCTTAAAAGGAACATTTGCATCCTGACCGTAAATGGAAAAGATGCCCCTTGCCGCAAAAATAAACCGGAAAAAGCTAAAACGGTGTTATGAAATTAACGGAGGAGGTAGCCGATAGTGTTAAAGACTGAGCGGCACCTAATGGAAACCTTCTCTTTGGTTTCATCAGAGAGTTTGACAGGGATTTGAAAGGAGAATTAAATTCCAGTGGGAATCAAGTTACATACCGTGTAAAACAGCCACCCTCGCAGCCAGTCCCCATGGGCACCCCAGTGTGCCCAGCGCTCCTGACTCAGAGACAGGCTTGTTTGCCGCCTCTCGCCTGCTGACCGCGTGCCCCGGACCGAGGGGCGCTCTCAGCCGCTTTCTCGGTCAGCCCATCCCTGCCCCCTTGCCCGCAGTGCACCTGAAGCGGCACTTCATGTTCCGGAACCACCTGTGCCTGGTGTTCGAGCTGCTTTCCTACAACCTGTACGACCTCCTGCGCAACACGCACTTCCGCGGCGTCTCGCTGAACCTGACGCGGAAGCTGGCGCAGCAGCTCTGCACGGCGCTGCTCTTCCTGGCCACGCCCGAGCTCAGCATCATCCACTGCGACCTCAAGCCCGAGAACATCCTGCTCTGCAACCCCAAGCGCAGCGCCATCAAGATCGTAGACTTTGGCAGCTCCTGCCAGCTTGGCCAGCGGGTGCGGCCCGGGAAGGAGCTGGAGGCGGGGGTGTGGCCGGGGTGGGGGCGGATGGTCAGGGACGGTGCCCCTAGGGGACAGTGTGTGGGGTGGGGGCGTCGGCAGGTGTGGAGGGTGGGACCAGCGGGCGAAGGGGGTAAAGGAGAGGTCACAGGGTGTCCTTAGTAGAAAGGGAGGCCTGAAGCCTGAGAAGGCAGGGCTGGTTTTGAGCCTGCCGGGTGGGGCGGGGTCAGGCTGGGGTGGCCCTGAGCCTCGGGTGGCCCTTTGCTAAGTGTTGTTTGTCCTGTGCTGCTGGCCCCGGCAAGGAGGGGGCGGCAGCTTAGGTGAGCAGACCCTTCGGATGACCATGGCAGTAGCTAGAGAAGGGCCTGGACTGGGAGGGTGGGAAGGGCCTGGGCTTGCAGCCTGCCAGCCTCTGACTAGTGACGAGAGGGGTCAAGGGTCAGGCCTGGGATGGAGACTCCTGAGGATGGTACCTGGTAATCCTGGCGGGGGGCGTGGGCAAGAGAGTGGCGGTCAGTGGGCGGGAGGGGCAGGGAGACACATACCGGGAAACAGGCGCAAGAGAGAAAGTGGAAGGAGAGAAGCTAAGGACAGTTGTGGGGAGGGGAGGAGAGATGTAAGAAGGTGGTGGTACCAGCTCCTCGAAACTTGGTGTTGAAACGTCAGGATTTGAAGCCCTCAGCCCCGGTTTGGAGGGCAGGATTCCCCAGTTCCTTTGGGGTGCCAGTGGCACCAGTAGGGAGACTGGAACCTCTGACTGTTGCCCTCTCTGCTCCCCCAGATCTACCAGTACATCCAGAGCCGCTTCTACCGCTCACCCGAGGTGCTTCTGGGCACGCCCTACGACCTGGCCATCGACATGTGGTCCCTGGGCTGCATCCTCGTGGAGATGCACACCGGAGAGCCCCTCTTCAGTGGCTCCAATGAGGTGTGCTCCCAGGAGGGGGTGTGCTGGAGGGGGTGAAGGCCCGGCTGGCCTGATGACTCTGACTGCCCGCCTGCTCACAGGTGGACCAGATGAACCGGATTGTGGAGGTGCTGGGCATCCCACCAGCCCCCATGCTGGACCAGGCACCCAAGGCTCGAAAGTACTTTGAGCGGTTGCCTGGGGGTGGCTGGACCCTACGAAGGACAAAGGAACTCAGGAAGGTGCGGCCCCTGCCCCATGCCGCTCCTCCTACCCCGGTGGCCCCTCACTCTCTCACACTTGGGGCTCCCTCTCTCCCTGCTTCCTCTCCCTGTGTCTTTCCCCTCCTTCCTCTGCCCCTTGTCTGTCTTTGCTTCCACCCCCGCCCGCCCCACCTCTCCTCCCCTCCCCACGACTCTTCTTAGCTTCTCTCTTTCCACTTTCTCTCTTGTGCCTCTGTTTCCCCGTGTGTGTCTCCCTGCCCCTCCTGCCCACTGACGGCCACTCTCTTGCCCCCCCTCCCACCCCCTCCCTGCCAGGATTACCAGGGCCCCGGGACACGGCGGCTGCAGGAGGTGCTGGGCGTGCAGACGGGCGGGCCCGGGGGCCGGCGGGCGGGGGAGCCGGGCCACAGCCCCGCCGACTACCTCCGCTTCCAGGACCTGGTGCTGCGCATGCTGGAGTATGAGCCCGCTGCCCGCATCAGCCCGCTGGGGGCTCTGCAGCACGGCTTCTTCCGCCGCACGGCTGATGAGGCCACCAACACGGGCCCGGCAGGCAGCAGTGCCTCCACCTCGCCCGCACCCCTCGACACCTGCCCCTCCTCCAGCACCGCCAGCTCCATCTCCAGCTCTGGTGGGTGCCCAGGGCCAGTCAGGGTAGAACAGGGGTGGCCTGATGTGTGGGACCTTCACCCAGAGCTTAGAGACCACTAGGACCTGAGCTGCAAAATGGGTGGGGGCGGAACTCTGATGGTTTGAGACCGAGCCTGGGGTCAGACCTCGAACATTGGTTCTGACTCTGACACCCCAAACTGAACTCCGACCCCAAATCTCAAAATTAAGCTTGAGCCTGCAAATGGGCACTGGCCCCAAAGCCCAAACCCAGGCCTGGGTCATGAACCTGTCAGCCAGCGGAAAGCACCCACCACCTCTCCTCACAAAAGGTCTCTTCTCTCCTCCCCCGGCACTTCCAGGAGGTTCCAGTGGCTCCTCCAATGACAACCGGGCCTACCGCTATAGCAACCGATATTGCGGGGGCCCTGGGCCCCCCATCACTGACTGTGAGATGAACAGCCCCCAGGTACGGGGGTCTTAGGAACTTTCAGGCTGGGTGGTGGGTACTGGGACTTCAGGACCTGGGTCTCGCTCATCTACCGTTCCTTTGTTTCTTTAGGTCCCACCCTCTCAGCCGCTGCGCCCCTGGGCAGGGGGTGATGTGCCCCACAAGACACATCAGGCCGCTGCCTCGGCCACGTCACTGCCAGGGGCCGGGGCTCAGTTACCCCCCCAGCCCCGATGCCTTGGCCGTCCCCCATCACCCACCTCTCCACCACCCCCGGAGCTGATGGATGTGAGCTTGGTGGGCGGCCCTCCGGACTGCTCCCCACCTCACCCAGCACCCGCCCCCCAGCACCCGGCTGCCTCAGCCCTCCGGACTCGGATGACAGGAGGTCGTCCACCCCTCCCACCCCCGGATGATCCTGCCACTCTGGGGCCTCGCTTGGGCCTCCGTGGTGTCCCCCAGAGCACGGCAGCCAGCTCATGACCCTGCCCCTTTCCTGGGGCCCCTCCTGAAGCCATACCCACCCCCCCATCTTGGGGGCCCTGGGCTCCCATCCTCATCTCTCCCCTTGACTGGAATTGCTGCTACCCAGCTGGGGTGGGTGAGGCCTGCACTGATTGGGGCCTGGGGCAGGGGATCAAGGAGAGAGGGGTTTAGGCGCACCCTCCCCACTAAGGACTGAACCCTTGGCCCCCCTCTCCCCCCTTGTTTTCTATTTATTGTACCAAAGACAGTGGTGGTCCGGTGGGGGAGGGGGGTGACCCCTCTCACCCCAGGGCCCTAGGAGGGGTGGGGGCAGGTAGGGGGAGATGGCCTTGCTCCTCCTTGCTGTACCCCCCAGTAAAGAGCTTTCTCACATGCCTGCCTGAGCGTTTGCAGGGCCTCGGCTCCCCTCACCCAACCCTCAGAGGCCTGGTGGGGAATGAGTGGAGTTTGGGGTTGGGGGTGCTGAAAGAGCCCAGTCATGTGGGATGGGTCCCTGGGGAAGTTATGGCTATTGGAGCAGACGAGGCTGCAAGAAGTCTGGGGCTATGGAACCCTAGGCAGATCCCGGATAGAGTTCTAGCCCACGTTTCCCTTTTCTGGGGTAAACTGAATGAGCAAGGATCCCAGATGTGGCCTGTCTTCGGGAAGTGTCGGATTCTGCCCTAATAAGCCAGGGCATCTACGGAGCCCCGCAGGAATGGCTCCTGGCGCCAGGCAGGCAGGTGCTGAACGTGCGTAGTCGGCCTCCCTGGTGTCTTCCGGGGACTGGCAGGCAGGCAGTGGGTATACGTTACCCCCGCACGTCGGGGCTCACCCCGTGGAGCCATTGCGGAGCAAAGCGTTTTGAGCTTCTCAGGCAAAAAGCTATTCCTGGGGTTCCAGGTAAGTGAGCTTGTTTCCATGGCAATTTGGAAACTTTTTGTCTCCCAGCCGGCCAATCGAGAGCCACCTGATTCAAAGGGTACGGTCTCCCACCCCTGGGACACGGCGCTCCCTGGGAAATGGAGTTCTGCTTGGCGATCGCGTGTGCCTCTTTTCGTTGGGGAACTACAAAGACCAGAATTCTGTTCGCCCGGCACTTGGCAGGCTCTCGGGCCGGCAATTGACAGTCGGAGGCCGCTGGCCCGGATGTCGGGGGAGAAGGCTGTGATTGGGCAGTGTGGGTCGGGCTCTGCGCAGGCGCGGAGCCGGCTGTCGCGAGGGGGAGGGGCGCCGGGCGGGGGGCCGGCCTCGAGGCCCCGGGCCGCGTCGCTCCGGCCGTCACCGGCTCGCGGGGAGCCCCGGGCGGTAGGACGGGCCGGCAAGGACTGGGTCGCGGACCCGCGTCTGTCCGCCGGTGGAGCGCGGGGAGGGGGCCGTGGGGAGGGGCGCGAAGGTGGCCCCCGCGGCCCCGGGGCCGGTGAAGGTTCTGCGAGAATCAGGTCGTGGACGGCCTTGTTGGGGACGCGGGCGGCCGGGCTCTCGTCCTGAGGGCGGCGAGCAGCCAGGGCCGGGCTCCCGGCAGGGTCGGGGCGCGGCCCGGTGTCCTGCCGTCTGGAAGTGCGTTGACGGGGTCGGGGCGCCTGGGGTGGCGGCTGTGGCGGCGTTTTCGGCGAGAGATGTTAGCGGTGGGTCGGGGAGCAAGGATGTCGGCCTTCCTGCGGGGACCATGGCCTGAGGCTGAGCAGACAGAGGATGCGATTGGCCTCGAGGGAGGGGTTGGCGGAGAGGGCCAGGAAAGGGGCGTCTCCGGCCCGCAGCCCGCAGCCCGGTGCCTGGCATCTTGCAGATGCTTAATAAAAAAAATGTGTGCATGAACGGCCCTTAGAAGAACTGTTCTGGTGGTCTCTCTTCTGCAAATGAGGATGCTGGGGGCAGCGAGTTAAGTAACTCACAGAAGATCACAGAGCTAGGAAGTGCGCGGCTGTGTGTGTGTGTGTGTGTGTATATACACACCACTGGTGTAGCAATGTGCTACATCATGCAGTTCCTGTGAGGAATTTGGGATAAGCATGGAAATGTACATCCCCAGTTTTCAGTCCAGAACTCTCCCCAGACCTGTCGAGACTGTCTACGTGGTATTTCTTCTTGGATATCCAGAGACAGCTTGAGAGTCATCTCTGTCAAATTGAACTTACCCCACACCCTGTTTCTCCCGCATTCTTCTCAGTAAACCCCACCTCCATTTGCAGTCGCTCGACCAAAAGCTCTCGCATTGTCCTTGACTCTTACGTCTTACACCCATGTTTGCTCCATCAGCAAATATCTTCAAAGTCTATTCAGAACCTGACTGTTTCTTCCCACTTCACTGCTGTCCCCTGGTTCCTGTCCACCCTATCTGCCTAGATTATGAGTCTCTTAGTGGTCTCCCTGCTCCGCACTGTCAGTTCCTCACATGCAACCAGGGTGCCGTGAACACCTGTGTCAGGTCACTTCTCCCCTGCCAGTACCCTCCTGTAGCTCCATCTCACAGAGAGGAGATGCCAGCATCCTCTCCATGGCCTATGAGGCCCTGCGTGGTGTGTCGCTTTCTGACATCATCTGTTTCTCTCTCCTGACTCACTCTGCTTTAGCCACACTGGCCTTAGGGCCTTTGCACTTGCTGTTCTCTTCACCTGGAACTCTCGTCTCCAAAATAGTCCAGATTCCCCCGCACCTTCTTTAGGTCTGTACTCAGGTATCACCTTGTCCTTGAAATCTTCCCTATTCTTTTAAAATTATACCATCAGCATACATGAACTTCCCTTTAACTTTTTTCTTAGCGTTAATCATGTCACTATTTAACATACTATATAATTTACTCATCCTGCCTATTTTCTGCCGGCCCCCCACCCCGGCCGACCATAAGTTTCATGAAGGCAGGACTCTTGTCTACTTCATGCTTGATCTCCAGCACCTAGAAGAGCTGTTGGCATATAGTCGGGCAAGAGTAACTGTGTTTTGAATGACTGGGTGGATGATTTCAGAGCCCAGATCCTAATCCCAGTATCCTAGGCCTTCTGTCTGTCCTTTTTCCACAGAACTTTAAGAGGCGGCCTTAAAGTTTTCTGAGGTGTCAGACGTCCAACAAATATTTCATCTTACCTTTACTTTGTGTTCAGCATGGAGAAGACAGCAGAAAACAAAATACTTCCCTCAGAGAACTCAGTCTCAGGGGCGGGTGTAGAAATCGTCAGCTATTCACATGAAAAGGAGATTACAAAGAAAAAGAGAGTCCTGAAGAGCGCAACAGGAAATCTCACCTGGGCCCTACGAAGTGAGGTGTACGATGGTGAACGAGTAGGAGTTAACTGTTAAGAGGTAAGTCAGTGGGGCATGGGGTAGAACCCCAAGACTGAAGGGGAGCAAAAGGCCAGACCTGAGTAGATCTGTAAGAAGTTTGTGTCCTTATCCCATGTGTATTGGGAAACTGTAGAATTTGAAGCAACGGAAGGAGACCTGGTGTGTTAAGAGGGGATCTCTGACGGCTGTGTGGAAAACTTAAATCGAGGATTAAGAAGTAGGGAGACCTACGGGGGCTGAAGATTCAAAATAGCTGCTACTAAGGCCACACGTTCTTTGCCGTTCTCCAGTCTTCTGTTAATCAGGCTGGGCTATGATTTGTTTTGACCGAGAGTGTAGTGGAAGTGACCTTTACTGGCCGGGGAGCCTGGCAGTGCTGCTTCCACTCTCTCGGAGCCCTGAGCTGCCGGGCAAAGAAGTCCGGTGGAAAGAGAGAGGCCCAGCCAGCCCCCCACGTTCCCGCTGTCGTAGCTGATGTGGTAGCTGATATGGAAGTCGTGTGAGGGATGCTCCCTGGGGTCATCTAGCCAGCTCTCAGCTGACACCATGTGGAGCAGAGAAACGAGCCATCCCGACCTGCCTCGCCCAAATTACAGACTTGTGAGCAAATAAACGGCTGCTATTTTACGCCAGTGTGTTGGGGGATAGTTTGTTGCCCAGCATTAGCTACCTGAGACCAGCTTTTTGAGATCTTAACCGCTGTATGTATCAGCTGATTTGATCCTAAAAAGTCACCCTATGTGGAACGTGGTCCTCCCCATTGTCAGGTGAGGATGTGAGGCCAGAGGCATCAGCGACGTCCTGCGAGGTGGCTGGCAGGTAGTGAGCGCCGCTCACCTGCGTCGTGGTGATTGGTGTCAAAACTTCTCTGTGTGCTAAAAAAAAGCACTAGCAAGATGAAAACAAGCATCACTAACCCACTTCCTAGTGGTTTGACATTAAATAAGGGGCTTCTCTCTGGGGCTCAGTTTACTCGCTGTGGAATGGGAATGTGCTAACATTCACCTCAAAGTGCTGTCGGGAGGAGCACAGGGCTGGGCAGAGAGCACAGCCCCAGTCTGCAGGGGGTACGTGGCGGGGATGGCCGGCACTGTGAGGCAGGCAGCCAGGTTTCCTGCGGGGTGGCGCTCGGGGCCACAGGGGTGAAGCATCCTCCCAGCAGGCAGGCCCAGCGAGAGCCAGAGCGGCCTCGCGTCCTGGGGACGGGGCAGATGTGCTCAGGCGTCGTCTTTTGAACTTTCCTGTCAGGTGTCCAGATCTTCTCATTGTCTAAGCCACGTTGAAGAGCTTTCTTGAGCTTTTTATTAAAGCCAATGTCCTAACTGAACCCAGCAGTTAATTCCCTTGTTGGTACCTATTAATAGGTACTAGATAGCTAGCGCGGGCTGGGCCCTGCTCCAGCTGCTGGTGCTCTGATAGTGAGCATGACCTGCAGAGCCCGGCCGGCCGTGGCGCTGCCCCCGCAGCGGCGGGGAAGGTGCGTGATGAACCTGGACGATGAGCACGGGTGACAGCGATGAAGGTCAAGTGCAGGAGGAATAGAAAGTGACACGAGCTGCTGTTTTTGGTGGAGGAGGTTAAATAAGGTCTTTGGGGAAATGTTAATGATGGTGGGACCTGGCAAAAATGGAAGGACATTTCCAGTAGGAAAAAAACGCAAGTTCGGAGGCACCGAGGCCTGCGCGGAGGAGCAGAAGGCAGCGGCTGACTGGAGTGGCCTTGGGGGGGCACGGGTGGGAGGGCCGGGCCGTGCAGGGCCCGGCGGGCCGTGGTAAGGACTAGAGGGCGAGCTTTCGGAGCTTTTTGAGTCCGAGGGATGTGGCCATAACATTTTCGTAAGAGTCCTCGGGCTGCCACGCGGTCCCCGGGACGGAAGCAGGACTCTGAGAGGAGGCCGCGGCAGCAGGCCAGCCGAGATGACGGCAGTCTGGCCGCAGGTGGCAGCTGTGGAGGTGGAGAGTGTCAGATTTGGGGTATTTGCAGGAAGACAAATGGGGACCGCAGGCGTGGGGCGATATTGAGGAGTCAGCGGCGTTCTAACCTGCTAAGGTTCGTAGGGCGAGCAGAGGAAGAGGAGGTTGTGCTGGTGATACCTGGGGAAGGCTGAGCAGCTGTGGCTGTCTTGGGCAAGTGTGCACAGCCCCAGGGGGACTGAGCAAACGCTGGGGCGAGATCTGGGCTGGAGAAAGAAATTTGGGGGTCATTGGCATTTTGTGGTACTGAGGCCCAGAATGAGAGTCCTAACAGAGGAGCGTAGATGGGCTTGAGGCCTGGGAGGAGGGCGAGGAGGCCCAGAGGCAGTCGTTGCAGTTCTGGAGGCAGAGGTGGCGGCGGTGGGGACCGGGGCCGTGGCGGGCGTGAGCGGCAGGCGTCTGGCTGGGTTTCGTGGATTGACTACAGCGGGGACGGGAGGAGAGGGACGGGGTTTCTTGGGGCCGCTGGCCCCGTGGGCTCTGCTTCTCTGTGTCTGCTGCTTCTCCGCGGCCAGGCACGGCCGGCCCTGGGCGGATTCTTGTTCCAGCTCGGTGCCAATCCAGTGCAGCTCCCACACCTTCTCCATCCCAACCCCCCTAGACGGGCTCGCTAGGTGCCTGACCCTGCTCAGCCTGCTGCAGCCAGGGTTCCCGCAGCGATACCTGTCTGCTGGGAAAGGCAGTGGCCTGTTCAGGCCCCTCAGATATGCCAGTCGCAGGTGTCCCCGGTGGTTGGTGTTCAGAGGCAGCAGGTGCTGGGGGAGGTGGGGGAATGATTTACGGTGGGACTGGCCAGTTTTGTAGCCTCGGGCATGCTGTATGGGATGAAGGCCAGAGAGGCCAGGCCAGCAGGGCCTGCCAGGCTGAGAACAGGCAGGGCCAGGCTGGGGAAGTGATGGGGGTGCTTTTGGGCTCAGCTTTTGCCTGCCCCTTCCCTGCCCCCGTCCCAGGGAGA